ATCAATTCTAAAGCTGAACTTCACTCTCACAGCTATTATGAAATAACTTCTGTTTATGTAAATGCCCATCTTCTGTCTCATCTTGTTGGCATCCTTCTTTTATGTCTTCAGCAAAAGCTTTAGCATAGCAAACCACTTTAAGATATTCCTCATTGCAGTAAACCCAGCAGGACAGAAGTAGGCAAAACAATATTCCATAGCTATTATTCTGCTTGTGTCACAAGTCCTGTCTCAGTCTCCACTGATCTCGAAAAGTAAAAGGTCCCCTATGCCTTTCCACATACAAACTCACCCGTAGCTTTTTCATTCTACTTTTGTACTTTGAAATTCTAAACCAATCTTCCAGATGCTTATTTTTTAACTCATCTAAAAGCTGTGGCTCAGTCTCACTCTGCTTACTTCAAGTTCACAGTCACTGCCACATTCTTAACAGCTTTTCACTCAGTTATTCTTTTTTCCAGTCTCCATGTTTTCTTGAATACCTAAATAGTATGTGGAAAACAATCCAGAATGATTATTTCAGTTACGTAACAAAGAAGACCTGCACTGCCATCCTTCCCATTTTTAAGTACTACTGCAATTGGCATGTGTTTCAAAGTGTTCCTACAGTGAAAATAAAATCATAAGGAAAAAAGGTTCATCAAAATATTTTTTCAGAAAAATGCCTTTTGGAACTTGGGCATGAAACCTACTTATTCAGTAGGTTCATCTTCAGTTAATCACTCCCAATCAGGGATGCGTGATTGCAAACTCCCACTTGTTGGTATTCAAGCAAACATGGCATCATTACAGCTCACTTTTCATCTGCTTCACAAGATTCACAATCACCTGACCAACTGTCCTCCTCTGTACTTCTCCATGCTTATATTCATTTTTGTATTAAGTTGCAAATCGCCTTTTTATTTCCAACCCTCCAAATCACCCACAGAGCTGCCTTGTCTTCCTCACCTGTTGTTTCATTCTTTTATCTCTCATTTCCACCCCTGGCTGTCAAACCAACATCTTAAATCATTCACGTTTTTGTTGCACTCGCGCCTTCAATCTGCAGACACTAGAAGCAATATTTGGCAAGAGCTTTCACATATTATAACTATAAGAAAGGAAAATCTCACAATTTTTACTCAAAAAATTGTTTTTGTTCCTAAAGGCATTTAACAATTTTAAAGTATCTTTTCAATGCGATAACAACCACTGCTGGAAATGAGATAAAAGGCTTGTAATGTTTCAGTCAAACTGTACCTCTGGAACACTCAGATTTACCCAGAAGGAAATCCAGACAAGTCTCAGATTTCTAGCCCCTAATTAAAGGCAATCCTGTCCCCAGATCAGGCTGAGAAATTTAATGAAATTGCGCTGATGATTTTAGTTAGTCCTATTATAGGACTAACTTTTGTGGCATGGAGAAAAACACAGGATGCAGCTTGACAACATTTATCAATGCTCACTAAAACATAAACTTCACTTCCACATCTCAATTTCTATATACATATCCCTTTTTCTGGATAGGAAAAAAATAAATCAAATGCATGTAGATAATGAACTTCAATGAAAGATAACGATATTATTGTGTTCTTTCAAGAGTACCTCAAAGACTAAATGCTTCTCAAAGCGAAGTGTAATCACTCAGAACAAAAATATCTAGAATATGATATTTTAATACTTAAGAAAAACCACCACATGTTACATTCACTTATTAATAAACTATCCAGAAAGAGCAGCTAGCCTAAAATACTTCTGGTCATTTCTTAAGTCCCAAGTCTCCTACTGAGAGCTGGATGCATCACTTCACAGAGAGGCTCCTTTAAGACATTCTATGATGCTCTTCCCTTTCAGCTCAGGTCATTTCCTCCTTGCTAGCAAAGTGGAAGCTCAAATCAAGTCCTAAATGTTTTCAGTACTGTCTTCAATGTCTACTACAGCAGTAATGACAATTATGGGGAAAAAGCATCTATGGCATACAACCCCATTTTTCATGAGAAAAAGGAGAATCAGCGCATTGCAAACGTACAATTAAAGCTAGTTACACAATCACGGTTGATAATAAGGATCCTAACTCCTCATTTTCATTTGTCTAAAATTAAGCTGCACAGAAATTTTTCATCCAAGGTTTCAGTGCAAATACAGGCTCACATTTACAATGTGCCTGCAATTCTAATGCTGCCTTAATCACATTTTTTGGAGGCTTCCATCAAGGTGATGACTACATTCTCTACAGAGATGTCCTTTTCTGACTCAGAATCTAAGGAGACTGCGAAAAGCAAAGCAAAGATAAATTCTTATCACAAAATCTCAAAGGAGTAACGCTTTCTAAATTTCAGGTTTCTTCTTTTTCATTTAAGGCTCAAGAATGTAAAGCTACAGCACTGTTTAGAAGATATGAGGATAAAACTGCACTGAATTATCTGTATAGACCTCAGGGAAAAAAAAAAATATGGCAGCAGCCAAAGCAACATTCAGAGTACATCTCCAGACTATCTACTGAGGAGCCACTGAACAGAAGATCTCAATAAACTGCTTTGCTTGTGGGATGTTTTGGTTCTGATAAATAAGGCATCTGTAGCTGTTATGAACACATTTTGATAGCTAGGTAAAATAAAATGATGATTCATACAGCAATAAGTCTTCAGAATTTCAGCTGTCTAAAAACAAAAAGCCCTGAAAAAAGTATGCCTTACTGCATTAGAGTAGGACCAAACAGACCTAAATACCATGATTAAATGAAAGTTACAGAAGAAAACTACTGATACAAAGCCCTCTACATCTGGACTGCCTCTCACCATTGCCTCAATTAGCCTCAATGTTCCTCAACAGCTTCAGCACATTTCTGTCTCAGATGAACAAAGGCTTTCAGGATTCTCTAAGAAACCATCACAGTTTTGAACTTCCCCTCAGACACCGTCACCTACCATACAGAGAACAGAAACAAAAATGAGATTTCACATCTATTATTACAGTTCTAACAGCTAACAGCCACAGAGATGATGCTTTGCCCTCACACATACTTGTTCAGCTTCACCTTCCCTTGCACTGACTTCTTTTTGATCTCAGGGTGATCCTGTTGACCCAACTCCAGAAAACAGCAACCACGACAAAAAAAAAACAAATTACTTCCTGTAGACAACGAAAGAAGAAAAAAGAAAAGGAAACTGGCACAAAACTGGAATCTTGTCAGTGGGAACGAAGCATTAAATCTGTTGAACTGATCATTAAGGTACTAGCTACCCAGAAAATCAGCCTTTGCAATACATTACATAATTAATGACTTCAAACAGAAGTTGGATATTCAACTCTTCAGCATGTTCAAAACAAATATTAGACAATAATATTAAACCAGTTGGCACACAATCCCGAAGAACTATTTTGGCACCTACTCCTACTGGATTCAGCAACAGGAACCTAAACACTCCTGCAGAACTTAAGACACTAATTGCTACTAAATGCATAGGTACTACTTTAAGACAACAAACAGAAAACCTTAAAGCCTTCTAGGAAATGGTCTGCATCATTGAGTGCATGGCTAAAGCACATTAAGGACACAAATTAGGTCTACCTCTCATTATTAAATTTAGGTATATTTTATTTGCATAGCTAGCAATCAAAATAGATTTGAGGAAGACTCACCAAAACAGAGCTCTAAAATAACTAAGATCAGCACAGCTGTGTCACTAATATATTGAACAAAACAATCCAATGACATATTAATGTGATATTCAAATACATTTGCCTAGGAACAGAAAAGATTACACTTGGCTTCATTCTTACACTTTGCTTCCTTCTTCTCATTCCTTTTATTATAGTATAACTTACTTCTGACATGAATTTCATGATGAATGAATTCAATTATTACGAGACTTTAAAAAGTAATAAAAACAGCATTTGACATATTAGGGACAATTTTTACAACTCCAAAGATTCCAATTTAAAAGCCTTCCTCACACTCATAAATTGTTAAAGAAAAGCTTTTTACTCCAAAGAAACAAAAGAATTGTTTCAAAAGATAGACTTTAAGACCATCTGAGGTGTGGCATAGAAGCTGATATAGCCAAGTGAGAGCAGTGTCCCACAAGGTGTCGGTGTGTTCTAAGCTCCCAAGCAGTGGCATTAGAACAGCTGTAGCATGCTCAGCCTGATTTCCTGGCAGAGGCTATTGAGCCATGCAGAAAACCAGATGGTGGCGTGTATCCTGAATGAAACCACACACAGATTGTAAAGAGCACTTTGCTATCATCCTCAGACCAAAATCAAGCTAAGGTTAAGGATTTACACAGGTGTTTTAGAAGTTTGTTTGGTTGTTTTTGAGGGAAGAACAGAGTAGCTATCCAGCAAGATGTGGGATGTATCCAATTAACTTTAAACCTGATCCAAATATCATCAGCCTTCCCTCCCCTCTCATTGTTTTTATGTTCACACAGTTTGTGAAGTACTTAATTAGTACATAATAGGCTGCTTTCCATTTCAAAACAAACAAACAAAACACTAAAAATAAACAAGTTTCAGCAAAGCCCTTTCAACTTCTCTTCCTCGTTAATTCCAAAACCATTTTAGCATGGGTGGATTTTTGAGGTCAAGGTGGTTCAGAGGTTTGGTGGTAGGTAAAAATTGCCTGTGAACTGATTAATTTATAAAACGAAAGGGAGACAAAGATCACATCCAGGGAAGTTTAGCCAACAACAGAGAACACAAGCAGCAAAATAAGAAATTGATGGAGCCTATAACATGGAACTCTAGAGAACACCTCTTCCAAATTGTTATCAAGTTTGGACAAAAGCAATCTCTTAACAACTACGTATTAAAAATTATAAGAACAAGACACTAGAAGTGACATTCTTTATCTCCAAAGGATAATCTTTCAAAGTAAAGATATCTCATTTATAATGCTATAATGTGATGGAAGGTACAGCAATAACAGTGGGGCAGCAAAGTGCTAAGCTGCAGCAAATGAGAACAAGCCCAAATGCAGCTGCTGTGGATGCAGAAACGAAAAAAGAAAATTTGCTTACCTTCAGAAGGCCTCAGGTAGGTAGGGATCTCCAGCAACATCCCCTCACCACCACTGCCAAGCCTTAAATGAGAGCTGGGAAGGGGTGGATCCTGGCTCCATGGCTTCCAATCACTCAGTACATTACATGCACCTGAGCTCCCCTGGGCTGGTCCTGCCTTCCCACCAGGTGCTCAATCACTGCTTCAAGCTGTGACTTAGCACTGCCACTACACTCATACTTAGTTTCTATCCTGACAACTATTTTTTATATTTAGATTAATGCAAAACCGAGGATAATGCTGTGATCCGTGCTGAAACACAAGTGGTATCTATCATAGAACCAGAGACTAGCACAGATTGGAAGGGAACTTCAGAATCACTGTGCTGCTCTGTTTCTAAGTATTTTATCTGCCAAGGAGGGAAGCTTGGAAAATTTCTTTACTACTGAGAACATCTTTTTATGGCCATTTTCTTACACCATGGGCATGAAAAATGCATAAATGAACACGTGACACAGCATATGCATTGTTACTAAGTTACTACAAAAGCTGAGTATCATACCTGAACTTAAAAATACTACTATCTATATACAACACAAGCATGGAAATGTATACAAAGAAGTATTTGTTGAACAAACTGTACTGTTGCACGTGACTGGACTTTTTAAAACAATGTAGTGTTTTTTTTCCTTTTCTTCTTTTTGTACCTTTTAACCTATGGAAACTTGTGGAAATTGCTATTGATGTTTAAATCACAGCAGACAGTCTCAATTTTTGCTGTATTACTTCAAGAGAACAATTTCTTTACTGGTGCTGCAGAATCCATTTTGTAGGTTTGTTATGCTTGTTTGCTTTTTAGCATGAGTGAAGCATTCCTGAAACAATAAAAGCTTCTTTGGATGTGTAGTAAATGTCTGACTGGCTGATCTGCTTCAGATGATCTACAGTGTGTAACGGATTATCTGAACTGTATACACCAAATAAAAACCTGCAAACATAATAAATACAGGGAAGTACCACAAAGTAGAAGAGAATAACAAGAAAATCTGCCAGACGAGTTTGTGGTAATACTTGCATCACGTCAGCAAGGTTTGGTTGGTGTTCTGAGCAACAATATTCTATGCTAGCATTTCAAGCTTTTATAAATATACATTTTATTAAACTTAGTACCTTAGTTCAAAGAACTTAGAGCATTTACAAGGAGTAGAAGTGGAAGAGTCACCTGTAACTGCTGGGGAGAAGAAAGGAGGACTCAAAGGAAACAACAGAAGACTGAGTGGTGCTTTTCCCAAAGACAAAACTCCACGGTAAGAAATCAGACTGCTCTTGTTTAAATCCCAATTTGTTGCATTTTCCCATTCCATTGCAAACATAACTGTGGTCTCCTGCAGAAAGTATGCTGGCTAGCAGCTGTACTTCATACAAGTGATTGCCTTTAGGCACAGAAGACTTAATCCACTCTCACTGTCTGAACAGCCCTCTGTAAATGACTTCCATCCCCCTGTATACACGTTGTATAGGGAGGATTCCAGGAGGAATCCTTCACAAAGGGACCATTCCTCAGGAGATCAAAATCCTTACCTGGAAGTTGTGAAGGTGTTACTATCTTACAGCTGTTCAGAATGCTACTTAATAAAGCATGAGCTGAATTCAAGGACAAGCACGAGGAAAGTACAAATAGTGGTGAACAGCAGCAGCCTCCATGGGCCTTTCTTAAACAGGGCAAGGCCGATGCTTGGCTTTCTGCTGTCCCACTGACGTCTCTCCTCAAGATTGAAGAAATGCTAAGTTGTCAGTACCCTGTTAGACCTCAGTCTCCTTACTGGCTCACTTCGGTTATGGCATATAAGGGAAAAGAAAATCAGCAAAACCATGCTTACACTGAAACAACTTGTCTTAGTCGTGACCAAACTTTTCAGGCTCACATTTATACTGGAAATCCAATTATGAAAAGCCCTGTGACCATTATTATTACCTTCCTAATAATGAGACGCTCCAAAGAAAAGCAATGAACATTTCTGGGGAAACAGTCTGATTATTAATTCATAAGCTGTTTGGAATACAGCTTTAACGTTTTATTTCATTGCATATCCACAGCATTCAGCAAAAACAATTAAAACTATTTTCTACTCCCAGAAGTCAAGCATTATTTGAGCATACAAAACAAACAGCCCTGAACATGATGAGCAGCACATGTTCCTGCCACAGCACTTGCAGTGCTGTAGAGAGATTTGTTACCATGAAGACTAAACACTAACGCTGAATTTCATTTTCCTTAGTGATGTTTACATATGCAAAGGCTTTGTTTAAATATTGGAAAAAGACTGAAATACCCAAATCCATAACTTAGTATAAAACAGTTAATTTAAAAAATAAATACCACAGTTAGTTAGCACCTGAGCCCTTCCTTCAAGATTTTAAAGTCTGAGTGCTTATTTCGTATTTCAGTCACATTTCTGTAATTTGAAAGGGATCCAGTTTCATGGATGAATAATTTAAACACAACCAAATTAAAATGGAAAAACAGAAAACAATTAGTATTGTTAGCTTTGGTCTCACTTAATTGACATTAAACTTTTTTTTTTTTTTTTTTGGAGAATATATCATGCAGCAGTTCACATACTGCTCTGCCTTTTATCTGTATCCCTGAACAGCAGTGTAAGTTTACCACTGAATTTTATATTACAAATGGCTCTTCTGGAAGAATACTTCTTTAAAAATAGTGGTGATTATTATTCCCCCCACGTAAATTGCTGTTAGCATTCTGACTTATAACTGTGTATCAACAATTAATTGTAATTCATGCATTACGTACATTTTATTAATACCTAAAAATAACAAATCAGATCGTTGTTTTGCTAGATTAGAAATTAAAACGATGCATATAAGGATGCCAAAATTATTAAATAATGGCTCTTTCCACCTCTTGCATTGTAGATTTTTTTTTTTTTTTTACAGTAAAATAAATCTTCAGTAACAAAAGAATTATAATTGGAAATAGACTTCTGTGGAGTTCATTTCTTCCTCTCTCGCATGGAAAAAAATCCCTTAGTAAAAATGTATATTTTTTTTAGCTGTAATGAACTCTGTAGCAATAGCATCATGGCCCAGGTACCCGAAAGATGCAATACCATAAGTCCTGTACAGTTCTCATACTAGTAGTTTCCATTTCCACAGAAAAAGTGTTTAAAAGTGTTTAAAAAAGCATTACAACTGCAGAGTTACAAAGAAATGCACTGGCAGAAGCTTGTTTAGTGACATTCCACCTGAGCACGTTTAAGAAAGCGTGCTGTAAGCACAGTACATTCCTTTGAGGAGGAACCAGAACCATTCTCGTCCTCTCCAAAATTCCCAAGCAATTGCTGAGAGAATTGTTAAGGTTTTGACGCTTTAACTAAAGGGAAAGCAAAGCATTTTCCTACAGTTAATGAAATTACTCGACTACCATCTCAAAGGCCTAACAATGCTGACAATACTGACAGTTGTACAAGCATAATTCTGTCACCCGCTGCGTGCGCTTTGTATGGGGGCTCTTGTTGTGCTGTCAAGTTCTCTCCTAAATCATGCAAAGCCAAAGCCTGCCATAAAGCACAAAGCAAATGAGAGCACACTGCAGGAAATCCTGCAGGATAAGGAAACACTAAGTACAGCAATTCTCTTCCCATCTGACAGGGCTGTCCTGAGGAACGCAGCGACAGCAAAGCTATTTTTTTTTTTTACACTGAACTGATTTATCAATCTGCCTCTAGTTTTTGTTGCTGCTGCTTTCATTCAATGTGAATTTGACTTTCACCAAGTCACTTTTCCAGGAAACTGCAGCATCGGCATACTAACACAACAGCAGTTTTATCATTAGCACCTTTTGCAAAACGTGAGGGCAGCTCTAAAAGTAACGTCTCCTGCTTTGTGATGTTGACATCAGAGGTGGATGTTGGTGGTATGGCAGTAGAGTTAGAACCTTCCCACCAATATCCTGTTACATTCTGCTGCTGTGTGACAGATGGCAGCAGAGAGGCAGGCAAACAGAATGCTGCCTGACATGGAAGCTTCAATGCATTGAAAAGAATGTTGGCAACACTGCAATATCACAGTGTTTGCACCAGGTGGGTTCCACAAATGCTCACACAAGAGAAGGAAGAACACCACATGTTTGTCAGGACCTACTGAACCAATGTGAGTCAGAAGGTGAGTTTCCTGAATCATGTAATTACTGGTTATGAGACACGGTGTCACCACTATGAGGCAACATTGAAACAGAAGTCCACAGATTCCCCATTGAATAAAACATTCAATACAGCACCTTCAATGGGTAAAGTAATGCACACTATCCTTTGGGATAAGAAAGGGATGATCTTCCACATTTCCTGGAACCTGGAAAACCATCAACTACAACTGCTTCATCACGGCACAGACTAAGCTGAAGGCTCAAACTCCCACAGTCAGGCCAGAGAAGACAACTTTTCTCCTGTGACACGATAATGCCAGGCCCCAGAACAGTCTGAAGTCTGTGGAGTACATTGCCAATCTTGGCTGGGCTGTCCTGTCATACCCATCGGATTTGGTGGGTTATGACTTCCATGCAATGAAAGATGGACTGCACAGGCAGCATTTCTAGCAATGACACCATCATAGCAGTTGTGGAACAATCCACTGGTACAGATTTTCACAAGCATGACATGCAGCCTCTTGTACAACATTGGTGAAAACGCAGTCAGTGTTGGTGACTGTGGTGAAAAATTGTTTTCTAGCTGAGAATTTACTCTATCAAGTAGTGACAACGTATTGCTCTTTTTATTTGTTGCAGTGTCCATGGAAACAGAGAGGATCCATTACTTTTGGAGCAACATACTTTAGAGCAAGGCTGAGATTCACAGCTTCTCAATAGGTGTGCTGTTATTCTGAAATCAGTCACAGCATTTGTGTTCAACTACACAGAAAAAACATAAATGCGTAAAGCGTATCTACAATTAGATCAAGTTTCCAAAATTCTTATGTATTGTTTTCAGTCTCAGAGGCCTGTTATTTTATTATGCTTAGCAATATGTAATGACTCAGAATAAGCAGTGTTCTTCAGAAGAAAGAAACCCTTTGAATAACTCTGCAAGGTAATTTCATCAAGGGCCAATAGTTTAAAGAATCAAATGTAATCATTTTTAGAAATGCATGACTTTTGGTGTCTTAATTTAAGAAAGCTGCAATGATGGATGGAAAAT